GCTGGGATTATGCCACTATGTCAGATGCTGTGGCCTACTCAGCCCTCCCTGGGGGCAGGGCTGGCATGGCATGTGGTGCCGGGGATTGAACCGTGGTCCCTGTGCTTGACTAAGTGTGCCTAAGCAGGTACTTTAGTCCACACCAGCCCTTACACTTTATAGCTCTTGTAAGACTTGTATTTTGCCTGCATACTCTAGCTGGTAAGGGTGAAAACCACTATATTCTTTCGATATATACATACCTCTTGGGTATGTTTCATAGCAAGACATTAGGCCTCAATTTCATTTTTCCATTGTGATCCTAAGTTTGATCTCTATAGGATCAGATTACATGTATAATCTATATAACCCAGGAATTCTGTACAGTTCTGTCTCTCTGCAATGCTTAAAAGCCCCTCCAAATTCATGGTGTAGGAACAGACCAACATGTTTAATGGTTAAACAAACCTTGAGTGTAGAATGGAGAATCTTCTTTTCTTGATGACACCCCTAAACTGTACTAGTACCATGTAACAAATAAAACTTTCCTAAACAGATCAGAAAAGATATTAACATTAATAAAACAAACTAATAATTTAACAGTAAGAACATCTTTTCATCAAGACTCTCCAGAGGGGGAAAAAAGTATTTCCAATACATATATCCAACAGTTTATACAAATAAATATGAAAGACACATAAGAGAAAGGTAGGCAAGAATCTTGAATAGGATAGAAGGAAGTGATCCAAATGTCCACTGCATATTTTTGAAAAGGTATCTAGTTTCATTTATTGTCAAGAAAACGCTGTTGTAGGCAGAAGCTCCCAGTCCCTAGCTGCACTGGCTCGTGAGGTGGGCAGGATGAATGTGGGGATGGCACACAGTGAAGTAAACCTCAACACATGAGACATGAATAGTCGGGGCATCTGGCTGGCCTACATCATCTTGGTAGGACTGTTAGGACTGCTGCATGTGGTTCTACTCAGCATCTCCTTTCTCAGTATTCCTGTTATGTAGACCCTGACTAATGTCATCCACAACTTGGCAATGTACATCTTCCTACACACAGTGAAAGGGACACCCTTTGAGACCCCTGACCAAGGAAAGACTTGCCTGTTGACACATTGGGAGCAGATGGACCATGGCTTCCAGTTTACCTCTTCCCAAAAGTTCCATAGCATCTCTCCTATTATACTCTACCTTCTGGCCAGCTTCCACACCAAGTATGACATTGCCCAGTTCCACATCAACACTATCTCACTGTTTAGCTTACTGCTGCCTAAGGTGCCCCAGTTCCATGGGTTTTTCTCTTTGGCATCAACAGATACTGAAGGATAGGGCTGAGGACAACCCCACAGGCATGGAGAAGGCAGTGGAACACAGGACAGAAACATCTTTCCCTTCTCCAAACTATCTTTTGTTTCTTGAAAGCCTGAGAAGTAGAACCTTTCCCAAACTCAGGAAGACAAGAGGTGGGAAAATGGAACCATTGGATCCAGTCCTGCTAAGTGTAAGACTGAGCCAGGAAAGGCAAATGAGGTTAAGAGCCACATCATTGTCCCCTGTAACAGGAAGACATATTTTGGCAATGTTTGATTACATTTTCCGTATTTTTCACCTCTACCATGTTTTGCTGTATATTTTCCTTATAATAAAGAATGTTTTTTGGCTAAAAAAAAGAAAATGCAAATTAAAAATGATAATGCCCTACAATTCCATATTCATCATGATGATCAAAATAAAAAATGTATCAAAAGGTGATGCTGTTTTGAACAATCAAAGCTTTGAGCACTGTTGCTGGAAATGTATATTGGTACAAGCACTTTGGGAAATTGTCAATAACTCCTAAAGCTGGAAGTTGCATGCCCTGTAATCTCAGTCCTAGGGAATCTATTCATAAGAAATACATATATATGTCCAATATAATTCATTTATATTAATAAATACAAACAGCCTCCAAATGCAAACCATTCAAATATTTGTCAACGATAAAATGAATGAATTGTGGGATGTTCACATAATGAATTCTATTTAGCAATGAGAACACAATCAATGGAGATGAATCCCACAAGTGCAGTGTTGTGTTAAAGAAGCAACCAAAAGAGTACAAAGCATCCAATCATGCTTATGAATTTTCTAGACAGGCAAAATTCATCTATGTCACTACAAGCAGAATTAAAGGAATATTTTCTGGCAGGAAAGATGACTAAAGAGAGGTGGCTTAAAGGAGATTGTCAATACTGCATACTGGTTTCAGAGTTCTGTTCACCAGTGGAACTTTTTAGACTTGAGGCCTGAAGAGTTTGTCTTCTGTGTATATTTCAATTAAAAAAATCAAATCTTAAGAGAATTTCTCTTGATGTCTTCACCTGGGGCTCTGGGGAGGGAACTGAGTTTACAAATGCTTTCCTCTGAAAAGTACCAGGTCTCCATGTTCTATCCCCAGCTTATTTCTCTGAAGGATAATCTAACAGTTCTGTTTGTCTTACTTCCGGGAGTGTTTAATAATTCCATTTCCCCAACAGTAATAAAAGTAATCTCAGTATCCCAATTGTTCTAATTCCTGAGGAAAGGAAGTGTGTGTGAAACACATAATACACTCATATATAATATTCACTTACTGGGCCAATTGCAGAAGGTATTATTGGTCTTATAATTTATAACTAAAATGTACCCCAATATCTCATGTGTTTGGAAGATGGTTATGAGGCACTGTACTCATGAGTTTAGTAGCTGAATATGCTGTTAGCAGGCAGGGCCTGGCTAGAGGTGGGTTACTGGGAGGGCCGCCCAGAAAAATGTGTTCTTCCTAGCTCCTTTGCTTCATGGCTAGCTGTTATGGGTCAAGCAGCTTTCTTCCACCATGGCCTTTCACCATGCTATTTCTCTCTTGGATTCAGCCAACCATAGAGTGAAACAAAATAAGCTTCTTTTCCTTTAATTTGTGGGTCCCTCTGGTGGGAAAGTGACTAAAAACGATATTGAAAGGGAAGTACCTTCAAAGTCAGGTCATGGAGAATATGGTTGCTGAAAAGATAAGCATCAAAAAGAAACTTATGGTTTGTGTCTAGATGTCCCCCCTCAAAGACTCATGTGGTCAACGTACTTTTACAGAGGGTTTTTTCTTTTTTTAAATTTTTTTATTTTTTTTATTTATGCATGTATGTGTGTGTGTGTGTGGCCAGCTCAGCTCAGCCCGCCAGGGGGCAGGGGCTGGCTGGCATGTGGTGCTGGGGGATTGAACCGCGGTCCCTGTGCTTTGCTAAGCTTGTTTTAAATAGGTGCTTTAGACCACTGAGCCATCTCACCAGCCCCCTTTTTTTTTTTTTTTTGTTCCTCGAATGGCTTCAGGGCACTTTTGGCCAGCAGGAGAGTTGTGAGGTTTGAACTCCAGCAACCTGAGGCTGAGAGCTTTGTGGAAGCAGCCACTTAAAGGCCTGAGCTAGGGCCACGCCCCCCAGAGGGTTTTTTCAAAGGCAGAATCTAGAGTGTGTGATTGATTTCTACTGCAATGCTGGAATTAAGGGTGGGTGATTTCTGGATCAGTCCACTGACTGGATTGACACTACCCTAATCCCTGTACCCTGGGTGCAATATAAGGGACAGAAAGAGATTTCTCTCTCTCTCCCTCTCTTGTTACTATTGCTGTCTTCTGCTGCCATGAACTATTATCCTTGTCATGTGCCATCCTGCCTTGGAGCCAGCTGATTATGGAATGAAACCTCTATAAAGTTTGAGCTAAATAAACCTTTTCCCTTCAACTTTGGGCATCGGATTTGTCTAAAGAACAAGAGAAAAATAACTAAGAAGACAAGTACTTTGTAGCAGAACAATAGGAAAGATGTTTCGAAGGCATCTTAGAAGTCACGAAGACCCTTCTATAGGTTCAAGAGTATAAAACTGTAATGCTTTCACTTGAGAAAAGAGCTTCTGGGACCCTTGTTCAAAAGGGCTGCTTAGAGAAGTTGGTTCCCTGGAATTTGTTTTATAATGCCCAGCCATCCAGTCACCACAGGTCTCTTCATCTTGTTTCAAAGGAGCCTGGTTACTGCTCAAGCTGCCAGCAGACCTTGATGTCATCCACATGGTGCTGGTTTCACAAGCATACACAATACAAAACTTATGGGTCGTTGAAGCTTCCACCCAGATTTTTAGAAAAGCAGGCAATGTGTTCCTGAGAAGGCATTGTATGAAGCTATGAGTGAAGCCAAAAGTGGAGACACAAGGAAGACTGGAGACTTCAGGAAGGTGTACAATGTGCTGAAGAAAGCCACTGGCTGTGAAACCAGCTCAAGAGAAGTCATGAAGGATGCAACCAGCAGTACTGCAGGGCAGAGCCACCTAACCCTGAGCCACTTAGTAAGTGCAAGGCTAGCTTCAAACATACAGCACGACCCTGTCTCAAAAACAAAATGAAACACCAGAAACATATTAATTCCGTGAACATTGTTTCAGTTTCTTTTTCCTTAGCACCAGACTATTTCGAAATAGCTACTCCTCCATTTACCCCCAACGTTACCACGAACATTAAAACATTCCTAATTTGAATGTATTATATACAAGCATCTGAGATCCAGAGTTTAAGTGTTTTCCTGCCTTCACGATACTAGCTTCATAATGACATTAAAAAGAGAGGTACCGGATCGGAGAATTCTGAGCACTTGTTAGTCTCGGCTTGGGGTTATCTCAAGGAAAACCGGCTCACAATACCTGTTTCTCCTTCCCACACTTCTTCCCATTTCCAATACCGGCGCCCACTTTGAGTCTAGAAAAACAAAGCAGTAGGGGCAGCGCCTCCAGCTCGCTTCTCCCAGGAATTTACTGGCTGCTAAGATCCAGGCTGCGAAACAATTCCCACAGACGTGCAAAACAACAGGTGTGCGAAAACGTGACGTACCCCAATATACGTAGAAGCCGCGCCCTCCGACGCCACGAGAAGGCGGGATTGGCTCTGAAAGACCCAAGATTCGCGCATATCGTTTACGTCACTTCCGCTATCACGGCGGGCGTCGCTAGATGATATTACAGCTTCCGGCTCTTTGAGGCCGCCCCTGGCGGGGCAGACTGAAGTATTTGCTTGTGTTCGGTCTATGGAGTCAGTTGGTACCGGCGGCGTCGCGGAGGCAGGTGGGGGTGTCCGAGTGGGGGTCTCTGCCCCGCAAGGATGTTACCGGGCTTGGCCGCCACCACTGCGACCCACAGATGTAGCTGGTCTTTTATGTGCCGGCTCCGCTTGAGCTGCAGGGCAGCGGCCCGCGGCTCCAGCGACCGCCAGGGTGAGTGTCCTCCGCCGGCCGCTGGTTCCGCGGAAGCCGAAAGGCCCAGGTCGGGCTCGACGCCGTTCGTCGGTCTCCCTTTCCCAGCCCCGCAGCCTTCCTTTGTGGTCTCCGCTTTTAAATTCAGCCCACCCAACTCGAGTGTCACGAGCGTGTCTGATCTTGGCCCAACCCGCAGCTCCAGCACAGCGTCCCCCCGAATCTTTGGGGCAGCTGCAGGGCGGGGTCCACCTCAGAAGCCGACCCCTGTGCGCCCGACGGAGCGTTGCGTGAGCGTGAGCGTTGCGTCCGCGGCGGTCCGCCCGCCGGTTGGAAATGGCGGATCCGCAGGGTCGGGGTGTTCTGAGCTCCCTGGCTCACCCTCGTGTAGCACTTTTCAATGAGACGTTCTTTCTGGTTTTTGTTGTCATACTCGTAACTTGTTTTCTTAAATTTCCTAAAAGAAAAATGAGTGTTGTCATATAATTTAAGGATTTTTTCCTAAGAAGTTGAGGGCATCTCACTAGTCGTTGAAAAACCCAATTTTGGATCGCAAATCAAAATAATTCTTCAGTGAACAGTGTTTAATGAAAAAGTGTCTACTGGAGCTGTAACCCAAAAAGGAGGTGGCTGTTAAAATTTTGATCCCTCCTAACATACTCTTTTCTGACTCAAGTTTAAATTGTTTTGGAGGTTCCCAAATAACAGTGAACCTGTACATGATAGTCAGGTTTTACCCTTGTCTTTGCTGTAGCCTGACATGTTTACGAAGAATGGATAGAAACCTTGAAGGAGAAGACAGAATGAAACCTATCCTTAATCTAATACCCCAGGTTTTTGAGAATGCAAAATATTTACAGAAACATTCCTTCAAAATTCATGGTTGAAAAACTTGTATCATGTTTTTGACCTCCCAATGGAAGTTGAAAATAGCAGTTATTCAAATTTTTGGGGCCGGGGAGATAGCTCAGTAGAATAAGCGCTTGGTTGGTAAGTACAGGATCCTGAGTTCAATCCCTGATACCAGAAAAAAAAAAAAAAAAAAAAAAAGTAGTAACTTACCTGTGTAAAAAATTACAGCATTGTTTCTTTTATTTACAATAAATTTAAAAAATTGGTTCTTAACATTTCAAATGATTTTTTTAAAAAAATGATTTTATTTTAGCATCACTGTTCTTGGGGCTTTTAGGTATTGATAGAAAAGTGCAGTTGTTGAGTTTGCCCATATTGGCGGTATACCTATTCTCTTAAGAGTAGAATGAGCCATCTGTTTATCTACTGTACTCCAAAATATCCAAGTGCAGTTTGTAATATAAGTACTTATATGAACCAAGCCACGTTTGTATTTTACACTGAAAGTACATGTAGTATCTGTTAAACTATTCTTTAAATGTGGGTGAAAGAGTTTAAGGTGCAATTTGTAATCCCTCTTCCCCGTAGCTATCATTATGTCAGCATTGCATGCCTTTGTCTTGTCTTTCTGAAACACAGGTAATAATTACCTGCCTTACCAGTCAAAATGACCTCGCAGTTATTTGGAATGGTTATTATTCCAAAAGAAAAATTAAAATGTGTTTGCAGGCTTAAAAACATTTATTGGACAAAGAATTTTGTCTAAATTTCATTCAGTAATACTGAAACATGTTTTTGAAAGGCAACTGATTTTGGTAAGATGTGAAAACTAGAGAAAATGTACTACTTGAATGCATGTGAGATGAAAAGAATTACTGGTGAAAAAAAAAATCCAAGAATGTGTTTTTCCTAGAAAAAAGTAAAATTTTGTTTTTTGCTGATGAAATACCTGTGGCTGGAAAAGACTTTGAAGGGATACACTTGCATTAGTTGAATAATTAACGAAAATGAGAAAAGCCTATGAAAACAAAAAGTAGGGTTTGCCATTGTGTACCTGCAATCTCAGCACTCTGGGATGTGTTAGGAGGGTTACAAGTTAGAGCTAGCCTGGTCAATTTAAGGACTTGATGAGACTGTC